AAAAAAGGGAAAAAGAAGGCCGGCAGACGGCAGTGCAGCGTTGCATCTTTAATGGCGGAGGTTTTTTAAGGTTGAAGATGACTACGACCGGAAAAAAAATTAAAAAAAAAATTATAATTTTCAATATTATGTAGAAAAAAAAAGAAAAAAAAATAGATTATTATAGTAATGGAAAAAAAACAAAAAGAGAAACGTATTGCACGTAAAAAAATAAAATAACAAAAATGCTAGATGCAAATTAAAAATATTAAATAATACCATAGTACACCATAGTACATCATATAATATTTACAATCTGATGTAATTTCGAATTTGTGAGTGAAATGAATTTTGATAAAGGATGTGAAGCAAATTTTGATTAGGCTCATCATTTAGTTCTAATAAGGTTTGTCACCAAGGACTTATATCTTAAGACCCCTTAAAGAAATTAGGTATTCAATTGCTAATGTGGTTTGCTTAGGATTGCTATATAAAATTGAACTCATGTTAACAATTAGAGCCGGACATTATCGTGAAGTTAAAAAACAAGAGCAAAAATGCACCAATTTCAAATGAAAAATGAAGAAAAATGAAGTTAAAAAAAATAAGGCACATATAAGCTTTGTACCCTTACACAATAGGGGTAAAAAGGTAAAAGGAAAAAGACAACAAGAAAGTCAATGGGTGATCTGAGTATATTCAAATACAAAACAAAAATGATGGAGTATTTGGTACGTTTCGTAATTAAGGCGTGTGTTTGCGACACATCCCATAATTCAGAGGTGCAAAATGAACTTTGTCATAATAATAATAATAATAATAATAATAATAATAATAATAATAATAATAATAATAATAATAATAATAATAATAATAATAATAATAATAATAACAATAAAAAAAATAAAAAAAAAAAAAGGAAAAGTGCTCTACTATTGAAACCTCCGTCAAATGAAGAAATATCACTCAACAGCGCAACTATTCCTTGAGTCTCGATATGAAATGGATTTGAATGCTGAAAACACCAACTGACATTGTGATTATCGCCGGAATATCCCACCGCCTTACCACACCACCATCGCCCGCCTTCCGCCGTCGCCCATAATGCCTTCAGTCGCTTCTCCATTGTGATTATCGACGGAGTAATTTGATATCCCACTTTCCTTCACCATTTCTCTGACGAGGTAAAAGTTTCAGATTGCATCTTCCAAATTCTATTATCCGATTGATTGATTAAATTTAAGTATGGAGATCTCATTGCCATTGGATCAAATCCAAAGCAGCTATAGATTCGCTTGTTCGCTGGTAAACCCCAGCCTTCTCAAACAGAAACTCCCAATTTCTGAAGTTTTTTCACTGAGTAAGAAAAGATGTAGATCCCCCTTTTCTCGGTTCAGGTGTTCTTTATTAGACCAAGGATTGAAACCCCGGCCAATGCCCAAACCTTTGAGAGAGCCCGAAAAGAATTTCAAGAAAGATAGCCGTTTAGAAGAAACCCGTTTGGATAATCCGAATTCACGTTCTGGAATTTGTGGGCAGATTGAGAAATTGGTTGTGTGCAAGAGGTATAACGAAGCTCTTGAATTGTTCGAGATTTTGGAATGCGAGAGCGATTTAGAATTAGATATTAACATCGACACTTACGATGCCTTGGTGAGTGCTTGCATTGGTCTGAGATCGATTAGGGGTGTGAAGAGGGTGGTCGGTCATATGCACGATTCGGGGGTTGATCTGGATGTGTACATGATGAACAGGGTGTTGTTGATGCATGTGAAATGCGGGATGATGATCGACGCACGCCGCCTGTTCGAGGAAATGCCCGAGAGAAATTTGATTTCATGGAATACGATAATTGGTGGACTTGTTGATTCGGGTGATTACGTCGATGCGTTCAGATTGTTCTTGATGATGTGGGAGGACACCTCGGATATTGGGTCTCGAACATTCGCGACTATGATCCGAGCATCGGCTGGCTTGGAGCTTATTTCTCCTGGGCAGCAGTTGCATTCTTGTGCATTGAAGATGGGATTGAGTGACGATGTATTCGTCTCGTGTACCATGATTGACATGTACAGCAAGTGCGGTAACATAGATGACGCGAGGTGTGTTTTCGATATGATGAGAGAGAAAACCACAGTAGGATGGAACAGTATCATCGCCGGTTATGCCCTTCACGGTTACAGCGAAGAAGCTCTGAGCATGTACCACGAGATGCAAGATTCCGGCGCTAAAATGGACCATTTCACGTACTCGATAATCGTGCGTGTTTGCACCAGGCTAGCCTCATTGGAGCACGCGAAGCAAGCCCACGCGGGTCTAGTTCGAAACGGGTTTGGCTCCGATACAGTGGCCAACACAGCACTCATCGACTTCTACAGCAAATGGGGAAGGATAGAAGATGCACGCAACGTGTTCGATAGAATGCCTCACAAAAATGTCGTCTCTTGGAATGCCCTGATATCGGGGTACGGCAATCACGGCCGTGGAGCCGAGGCAGTCGAGTTGTTCGAGCGAATGGTTCGTGAAGGAATGGTGCCCAATCACATCACTTTCTTGGCAGTTCTGTCCTCTTGTTGTTATTCGGGATTGTCCGATTATGGTTGGGGAATATTCCAATCGATGAGTAGAGATTACAAAGTGAAGCCTCGTGCAATGCACTACACATGCATGGTCGAGCTATTAGGTAGAGAAGGGCTGCTCGACGAAGCTTTTGCTTTGGTGAGAGACGCTCCGTTTAAGCCGACAGTAAATATGTGGGCAGCTTTGCTTACAGCTTGTAGGGTCCACAAGAATTTCGTACTCGGCAAACACGCAGCTGAGAAACTTTACGGAATGGGGCCTGAGAAACTATCTAATTACATTGTGCTACTGAATATTTACAACAGTGCTGGAAAATTGGAAGAAGCGGCCGAAGTTCTTAGAACATTGAGGAGGAAAGGTCTGAGAATGGTGCCTGCTTGTACTTGGATAGATATAAAGAAGCAGCAATTTGTTTTCTTTACTGGAGATAAATCGCATCCTGAAACGAAAAATATTTACGATAATTTGGATGATATTATGGCGAAAATATCTAAACGTGGGTATGTTGCTCAGGGGGGGAATTTGCTGCCCGATGTGGACGAACGAGAAGAATCGATGACACTTCATCATAGCGAGAAGTTGGCCGTTTCGTTTGGGCTTATTAGTACTCCGGATTCGACTCCGTTGCAACTTGTGCAGAGTCATAGGATTTGCAACGATTGCCATGGTGCGATTAAATTGATTTCGATGGTTTATGGAAAAGAAATTGTTGTGAGGGATGCTAGTAGATTTCATCGGTTTAAAGATGGCAGTTGTTCTTGCGGTGATTACTGGTGACACACCCGTTTATTTATTTATTTATTTATTTTACTTTTTTTTTTGAAATATAGGAATATTTATGTTTTAAGAATGATATCGTAAGCTCGTTTATTGAATAAAAATGTTTGCATTTGGTTATTTTGCGAAGAAACGTAACCGGTTTACCGGGATTGATATTTTTTATATGGCCTCAATCAACCTCTTGTTACTGTGACAATAATTCTGCAGATAATACTTTGTTATTCTCGCTGTTTCGTATCTTATTTTTGTACATTTGTGAATCTTACTTTTTTTTTTTTATCTGTTTTTCATTATTAATGCAACATCGTCGCAAATTCCGTGTGTATGATGTCGTCAATTTAGAAATTCGAGAAAAAAAAAAAAAACTCCCGCGTTGAAATCCCAGGTATGTTGTTTCTTATTAGTAGCCCACCTAACTGAATTAGTGATGCAGTTTAAAGAGTTCCAATAATTATACTTTGAACATCATACGATCTAATTTATATTATTTAATCACAATTAACAAATATTTATCTATTTTACGTTGTTTTTCTATGAATAATTCCTAACAAAAAACCGGGGGCGCTGTCCCGGAACCACCGTAAACATTTAACCAACTCTTATATCAAATCCCAACTCCGCCACTGCTGCCAATAATGAATGAATCCCACTCGAAAAACTGCTATTTCTTATTGCACATTCCCACTACAAATGCTATATATACAGTGTTACCCAAATTTCCAAATTGTCCCACAAAAATATAAAAAGTGTATCTGCAATATTTTCTTGATCACAAAATAAACTTAAAAAATGGCTGAAAATAATGAATCCCATCTTCTTTTCACCTGGAAAATAACTGTATATGGTCCAAAATTGTCTATGAAAACTATTCATACCACTCAGAATTCAGTGCAAGTAAAACTACATAGGGAATGCATACACACATGTAACATTCTAATACTGAATTCACAAGGTACCTGTTTCACACAGTAGAGGGTGTAAATGTGCATATACAACATAGGAAAAAAATTATGTGCAGAGTGAGGGTTGTGTTTATAGAAAGCATTTGAAAAAATAGATTTTCTTCTTTTTTTTTTTTTTTTTTTTTAAACTTTTTGAGGGATGAAAAGTAGAAATTGGTTGTAGGTAAATTTTGAAAATAATTGTTGTTATATCGAAAAATGTTTGGGGTGGTTGTAAATGCTTTAAAAATCAAAGCGACCGATTTCAGAAGTTGATGTGTTTGCAAAACATATTTCAGTTTTCGACTTATTTTTTGTAATGATCCCAAATGTTTGTGTAGAGATGTTTTTTAAGATTATAGTTTAAATAATTTATTATAAGATAAGCAAAAGCTATTTTTTTATTAAAAAAACCACTTATAAACTATATTTGTAAAAATGCTACTTTTTAGACTTGATTTTAAATTTATTCACAAGGTATGAAAATCAAAATTCTTATAAATTATTTGTTTGACATTCTTCCTTATTAGGGGTGCAAGTTGGAACAAAAATTCCAATTTCCGCCGGTTCCGATCCAAAAAGTTCCGATTTTGGAACAACTTTTTTCATTCCGACTTCCGAAATTTCGATTTCCGAATTTTTCCGATTTTTTTGGATTGGAATTGGAATTATATAAAATAAATTTGGAATTTCCGATTTCCGATCCGATTTGATTCCAAAATTGATTCCGAAAAATTCCGATGTTTTTCAGAAAAATACACCTATAAATAATAAATATTATATAATACTTATATTTCCGAAAAATACACCTTTAAGTTTTGTTTTAGGATTTTGACATAATGAATTATTGTTAGAAGTTTTATTAGATATTATATTGTGTTTATGTTTATTTATTTTTTGAACTGAAATTTAGTAGTTATTAGTTTTACTTTTATCGACGTGGATGTTCTTATTTTTGGAAAATTATGAACATTTAAAAAAATATTCCGCTAAGGTTTGAAATTTTTAAGCTCATGTGATTTCCGATTTTTTTCCGAAATTCCGAAAATTCCGGGACTTTTGGAATTGGAATGAATTTTTTAGATTCCGAAAATTTTGGAATTGGAGTTGGAATTGATTTTATACTTCCGAATTTTTTTGAAAATTTTCCGAAAATGCTAATTCCGATCCGATCCATCCGACTTTCACCCCTATTCCTTATTATTGGAGATATTAATATTAAATGATACATTTCACTAATAGCTTAAACTTTTGGTTGAGATGGTCATAAGGTCATTCAACAATTACAATTAAATTTATGAAAATAATAGTATTTGTCATCGGTTAAATATTAATATTAAATGATACATTTCACTAACAGTTTTTGGTTGAAATGATCATTCAACAATTACAATTAAATTTATGAAAATAATATTATTTATCATCGGGCTATTTTTATAAGATATAACAAATTATCATAAATATATAAAACGCGTAAAATAAGTTTAACCGAAAATCACTAATTTATTTTAAATAAATTCATCTGATTATTAATCATTAAACAAACATTTTTGATTCAATTCTGAATGCTGACAATTTGAAAAGACAAAAGTTTAAGGATTTGTCATAATAACTGTGTTGATGATGTTACTTTTTTATTTATTTATTTAATTTTTTTTTTTAAATCAAAGTTTTTGATTGGTAATGGGATTTACTGTATATGTACTGATTCAACAAAAATAAGTGGCAGAAAAATGTGGAATACAAAAGCTGTCATATTTGTTTGACATACAAAAAAATTCAACACCATTATTATTATTTGCAGACAGTACCAATTAATAATTATGAGGTTGAGATTATTGCAATTATCATTCTTTTGATTTTATAAAGTTTGGACGCATCTGATAATATAATTATTTTAGTTATTAATAATCTAGAATTATTATTATTTTTTATATAACGAAGGAACTCGCAACCAATAATATAGGTGCACTGGGTAAAGTTTGCAAACCATATTTAATTTAATCGGTCAGTTGGGTGAACGTTTTGGTGCACTCAAAACTCGACTCTCAAATTCATTGGTCTAATTTAATAGAAAGGATCAAAGTCGATCAAACCCATAGTAAATTAGGTTTTACTCAAATATAATTGAGTCGAATCATAATTAATTAGTCTTGATTCCACTTTAATCGACTCGATTCATCGGGCATCGGTTTTTACCAAACTAAATTGACAACCCTACTAGAAACAAGATAAAAATGATCAGTGGTGTTGATCAAATCTCTCTACTCGTGCATCATTTTGTAATGGACCGAGTGTGTTGTTTTAATATTTCGTTAAGTTAATACAATTTTGTTAGTCCCAACTGTACTAATTTGTAGAGGTTTAACTGTGTATAGACTATAGTACATAGGACCATGGTAGTTAATCTCGCGATATACCGCGATATATATCGCGATACGGTACGGTTCCAATCAAAACGATACAACTCGGATTCTGTATCGCTTATTGATAAATACCGTCAAATATCGCGAGATATCGTACCGTATCGCCGTATCACGATACGATACGATATTTACGATATTAGTCGACAATTAAAAAAAAAGAAAAAAAAGGAAGAAATGCAATCAACTGCTCTGAAAAACGGTTTTGAATAAATTTTTTCAATATCCCAATCCTATTTCATACTTTTCTCTTCAAATTTCTTCACCAATCTTCATATTATCGCAACCCTAATTCAATATATATATGGATAGTTAAGGCCTTTTTAAGGCCTTTTTACTGAGTTTTGCGATTGATGATGATGAATCGTTTAAAATTGGTAGATGAGGATGACTTAAGTGACATTGATCTTCAAAATTATGAGAGATCGAATATTTTATAAATTAGTTATTTGAATTTGTACTTGGGCCCATTTGGCTAAGCTTCTTTTCAACAACTGATAAGATGTTTTAAGCGTTGATAAGTTATTACATCTTACTTTTAAAAATATTTTTTTCAAGTGTTTGGATAGTGATCTTACAAATTATCTTTACTCATTGTAAGATCTTAAATAAATAGGCGGGGTAAATATACTTTAAAAAAAAATTAATTGCTCTCCTCCAGCAGCTTATAATATTTTGAATTTTTAAGATCTTTAAAAAAATTACCTAATACACTAGAATCGCTTATAAGCTCTTAAACATCTTATAAGTTATTGTTAACATCTTATAAGCCTAGCCAAACACCCTCTTAGATGATGTTATTTGATAAATAATTATGATTTTTGTCATATTTTATAATATGATGTTGAAACTTGAGTTTATATTTATTTTCGAAATAAATAGTTGTATTAAATTTTACATGTTTATAATATTTTTATAATATAGATATATATTTTTTACTATTTTAATAGTTGGTTAAATATCTTACGATACGATACGATAACGATACGGTACGAGATGTGGAGCAAAACGATACGAGATATTTTTACGATCCGATAACCATGCATAGGACTACAAGTACCACTACAATTTTAATATATCGAATCTCTGAATTATTGAACTTAATTTAGAATATCTTTAAAAACTCGACTAACGGAAACATCGAACCAAAATAACGAAAGCGAAAAAAGAAAAAAACGAAAAAAATAATTCAAGAAAATCATTTATTTTTCCCCTTTTTTCTTCTTAAATAAATCTTGGGAAAATCATTTATTTTTACCCCTTTTTTTCTTCTTAAATAAAGTTTGGGAAAGTGCTTAAATAATGAGGCAGCTTTTAGGGGTCTTTGTTGTATATATTTCAGCAATTTCATGATGGTGCAGTTGTAAGGTGTGTTTGGCTGTGTTCCAGTTATATATAAAAAGCAAAACTTTTTGTTAGATAAATAGCAGGTCAAGGCAAAAGCAAACACGTGAAAAAGGTCAAATGGGTAGTTAAATTATAATATCCACCTCAAAATCTGCTTTGGGCTTATTACTCAGTGAAGAACCTGCACAATTTGATACGCTGTCGTCTCATACAATATTAAAACTTTTATTATTGTTTTTAACTTTTTTCCTTCCCATACTCTCTCTTTCTGCTCTTTTGTAAAAGTAACTGCAACTTTAATCAATTACCGTATTTTATGTTTGCCGGAGTCGAATTTATTAACATTTTTATGAGGGGGTTCGATAATGCTGTTTAAGCATTTTACATACAAGAAAAAATAGGGATTCGAGAATTGTTGTTGGGTCATAGCCTCCTCTAGCTCTACGCTAAATCAAACAACTTGTAGATGTTTCGAGTTTAAATTTTATTGTTAATATTTTCTAACTC